ACTCCTGTTCTTCTTTTTGCGGATACAGACTAACACGGCTGCTACTCTGAAACCTGTCCTAAATATTTGTCAGTCTTATACCTCTGTAATCCTACATTGATTTTATATGAAATAGCATATGAATTGACCATAACACAATGATTAATGGATGACAAAAATGAACTAATTGGCTACACATCAGTGTAAAATTTCTGCAGAACTCCTCTGCCACAGTAACTTCTATTTTGCTACCATCACAGTTGCTAAATCACAACAGGCAGAGCAATTCTTCATAGTGAACCAGCTCATCCTGGCTAGAGCACTGATTGCTGGAAGGAAGCCTTCTACCTACTTATCAGAAAAGATAACCCAAATATTGCAGGAACTCACCAAGCCAGAAAAATCTATGCCAGAAATGTTGATTGGTCACCCTGATTGAATTGTACTTCATATTTGATGAAGTTCAAAGAGGACTTTGGAAATATTTGAACCAACACTTGCAAAACTGGTCTGCCCCTGCCTGGCTGTTTGGTAAACCAGCAAAGAACAATTGTGTACACTGCTAACTGATCTCAACAATGGCTCCTTCAAAGACATGGACCAGCCAACCTTCCTGTGAAAAATGCAAAAGCCCATTCTTGTCACAGAAAACCTCACCAACAAAATAGTGGATAAAGGGACATGATATAATTAGTTGGACTTTCCTAAAGCCTTCAACAAAGTCCCTCACAGGAGACCAATCAAGGAGATAACGTGTGAGAACTAAAAGTTCTATCATGGACTAGAAATGATATTTTTTTTTCTTACACTCCAAATCTTGGCCTCTTGCTATTAGTTCCTTTTCTATTAGTTAACCTGAGATAATGTTAATTTACAAGGGAAACTTCCCAGGGGCTCATTTTGGAGGGAACCACAAGTTTTTGGGGAGGTGATGATCTGAACTTCTCTACTAAGAAAATTAATAGCAAAGCCTAAATAAGGATGACTTTGTATTTTCAAGTGTAATTTAAAGATTTTTTGTTCAATTGAAGGCACTTTTTCATTCTAATGTTAAAACAGTTCAGCTGTGACTTTTTTTTTCTGACGATCTAGAGTGTTGTATTTCAGAACTCGTCTTGAAGAATTGCGAATGTTCTTGGAGAACGAGACCTGGGAGCTTTGTCCTGTTAAGTCAAGCTTTAGTATTTTACAACTTCATGTAAGTACTGCCACTCAGTATGCAAAAGTTCTTTCTGAAATAAGTTTGTTTTATATATGTAGACCAGCTGTCTGCGATGTGATAGGACATGCAAACTGCAGTCTGATTTTTGGGTTATTTTAATGGTACAGTAAAATTAGTGATTTTTATTTAGGGATTTTTGTATGCTATTCTAAACCTCAAATTTAAATGCATCTAAAATGGTAACATGCCTGATTCAAGAAAACATTCAGGAATGTACTAAAGCATGTGGTAAAATTCCACTGAAAGCAAGTGAAGCATGTGCTTTAGTGCTTTCTTGAATCAGGGCCTCTGACTAAGCTGAAGTTGGTAAATAGTAACATTTCTGTTTTATTTGCTTTTTTAATATCTACCTATTTGGGACTGCCTGACTGTCACATAACTAGAGTTGTTGCTACAAATAACATCTAGTTTGCTAAGGATGAACATGGTTGCGGGGGATTGAAGACTATTTTCTAGTTTGACTGTACAAGGAAGCTGACTATATACATTCATGCAGCAAGAGAGAAAAAGAGATCTTTCATAGAACAGAAAGAAAAGCATTTTTAATAGAAAAATGTGATTGTTAAACCACATGCACTGGCAGGGAAACTCAAGAGTAGCTGCAGATCCCAGAAACTATTCATCTAAATTTTGTAGAAATTACTACATTTCAAGTCCTGTTAGCCCAGTACATTCTGATCTATATCTTTAAATGTTTATTATGTAAATTTACTATTCAGAGATTAATAACTAAAAATAAATGATGATTTCAACAACAAAAAATTAGGCCAAGATTTTCAGAAATTAATATCTAGAGATAGGACTTCAATTAAGTGGTCTGATTTTTCAAAAGTTCTGAGCATCCTCCCAGTCTCTTGCAATCCTGTATTATTGTGCAGCGTAATAGTCCAAACATTTTGAAATGTACTTGATATAAGGATATTTTAAAAATTTGTTCCATATTAATAAGCTAAAATGTTTGTAATAAAAGTAAAGAGAATTATCTTTAAAATATTTTTTTAGTCTTTTTTTGTCACTTTTAATTTTGGAAATATGTTCTTTACATTTTGATTGCTGTATTTGTATAGTTTGAGATTTAGGTGCTGTTCTATCTCTTGTGAAAATACTCTTTTAATCTCTGGTAAAAGCTTTTCTATTTATTTCTAGAAAATGAAGATTTCCATAATACAAGAGGTATATTGCATGGTGCAGCAAGACTCACTTGCTAAAATTAGAAAGACAAACCATGTGAGATTGCAAACTTAAAGGTTAACATCAATCAGTCTAAAAGCTGTATTTAAATAAGAAGTAAACTCTTGTTGCAGAGCGGTAATTGACAGTAAGCTATGAATCAATATTTAAACTACATTACAAGGCATAAAAATTATTCTGTATTTTTATTAACAGGAGTTTAAATTCATGGAGCAGTCACGTTCCCCGTCTGTGTCGCCTAGTAAGCAGCCTGCTTCAGCAATCTCAACAACCATAACTTTGTTTGAGCAATATTGTAATGAAGGAAATCCATTTGAAATTCAGGTCAACAGCAAAGATGATGAGACAGAAGATGTACTTGCTTCTAATGGGGTATGGAGCATTTCATAAATACAAGAACCATGCTAGCTCTCATTATCATTAAATGAACATGACATACAGTATATTGGAAAGATCAATTATCTTGTGAATCAGTGATTGACAACTACATTTGTCTTTAATATTTTGCATTCTATATTGCACCAAAAGTAGCCATTTTACTACTTAAAATAGGTCACTCTGCTTTCTGGCGTTGCAGTTAAAAGCAAGGCTTCCTGTGGAAAGCCAGATATGTTTGTTTTGCAGTGGATCAATATTTTTCCATCCAAGTCAATTGTTCCTGAAGACTAGCAAGCCATGTTCCACTTAGAACAGAAACAGAAAAGTGCTAATTTATCACAGGACAATTAGATGCAATTTACTTAACTTTCCTGGTTGTGGTAAATTTGGCCTTGTTTAATATTAGAAGGATTAGCTCCCTCTGACTTGTTAGAGAATAATCTCCACAGATAATTCATAGATTGTTCTTTCTATATCGTTTACATAAACTTACCATGATTTCTGAAGGAGAATATAATTTGTTGAGTAGTTTTTATTTTTTGAATGTTATGGGGATGATAGTTTGAGATCTACTGGTATAATAGTCAACATTAACTTTAAATGTATTGATCTTTTTGTTGATTTGTATCATAAGCATACAATCAAATCTTTATTTAAAAGAAAACATTTTATATAGTGTTATGCATGCAGAAACTTCATACGTACATTTCTCATTAAAACCTTTGTCCTAACTTGCTCTTCGGTCAAATATTATTTTCCCCTCTTTTATTATGTGATGAGCCAGTCCATCTGGCAGTCTTACTGGACTTACTCTCAGTGCCTTAACAAACCTGGCACACGCTGTAAGATTTAACCAAGTTATCAGGTCGCCAGTCTCCAAATGGAACTTTGTTCAGATTCTCTCTTGAATCATATGTTGGTGGCCATCTGTTCTGTCCATGATTTGTTGAGCTCCCTACCTCTTCCTTCTATGGGAATTAGAATATAACAAGGGGTTCAAATCCTCCCAGTGCCCCTCTCCTTACTGAGCTAAATGGGCAAGGAGGAGGGAAAGGAGGAATTCCCAGTGGCAGAGCTAGCCCTCAGGATGAAAACACACCCTGCAGAAGCTGGGAGTAGGAGCATCAGAACAAGGAGAGGCCCAACGTGGCCCTGGTTCTCTCTCTTCCTTTTCTTCCCCCGGGTATCTTCACAGCCCCTGAACACCAGTGAAGTCAGCTGAGTCTGTTCCAAAACTTGGACTCTGGACATTCTTTCCTGACTTCTAACTGGTTGTTAGCTACCACACCATTATATAATTGTTTTAAAGCAAGTCACATAGTAGACCTAGATTATTTGTAATTTTCTTGTAGTTTATAAGATCGAAAACAAAATATAAATCTATCTTGAAAGGTTATTAATTGTCTGTTTACCTAAAAGACCAGAGTGGCTGCTGCATAATAATTCTATTCTATCCGGAATCTAAAACAATCTTTTTAAGGTGTTTGAGACCAAATTTTTTGCTTTATCTGTTGGTTAAATAAGTGTTTATTTTAAAAGGGCATATTTTTCCAAATGCCCTGTATAAACACATGAGTAAATACGTTGAAAGTTCTCCAATGCCTATCCCACTGTTTCCCCTGAAAGAAGACGAGTTATCTGGCAATTGACACAATTGACCGGGAAAGAATCCCAGAGTGTCTTCATGGACAAAACCATGGGATATGCCCCAGACACACATGGGCAGGCTCAGAAACAGTGAGGCCATAGTAACATGGGATAGCTTTGCTGTGGCAGCACTTGCATCCAAGCTAAGCTAATGTGGGTGCTCAGACCAGGGTGCCAGTGACCATGGCCCTACCCAATTCATGGTCCATTTTCGTAAATTTCACAGTCATAGCATTTTAAAAATCTTGAGTTTCACGGTTTCAGCTATTTAAATCTTAAATTTCACAATATCGTAACAAAGCATGAATATGTATTTTAAAACAGTAAAATATAAACATGTAAAGCCCTTCAGTCAGCGTTTCTCAAACGGGGCCCTGACCCAAAAGGGGGTCGCAAGGCTATTGTGTGTGTGTGTGTGGTGGGTGGGGGGGGGTGTGTGTA